AACTTCACTGGCAACTCTGGTATCTCTCTGCTAGATGATTCTCAGAGTTGATATGAAGCCAAAGTCCACAAGAGATAGAGATCATGTTGTTTTTAATGCAAAATTGAGGTGCCTTTGCAGTCATTGAGGACTGCTTGTAGTGTTATGGAAATTGGGATAATAATATTCTCTCCATGTTTCATTCTTTCTATGTTTTTTTTCTTACAAAATTTCCTAAACCAAATATAAATTAAGTGATATCTGAAACAAGTACTGCTGAACACTATTGCTTCCCTGCTAGTTGCAGCCACCTGTAGAGTGCAAAATAATCTCACATATGTTTCCTTCCATTGTCAAGCTTAATTAGTTTTTGGTAAGGGTTGAATTACAAATTTATTAGTAACACTGCAGAACAGAGCAATGGTAATAACTGCCTCCCTGACAGTGCTAAGCATTATGCACAGCATTATTTACAATCTGAATTACAATGTAGTTAGGATGATGCAGTGTTTTTTTACTGAAGGCAGATTTTCAGGGTTCTGAAGGGCAGGAGAAGGTGCAAATCTTAAAAGCTGCCTCTGTGGATGTGCACTGTAAATCTTTCCTGGCTTGGGAAGGCTGCTGCTGTTGCACTTGTGGATGTGGATAGTAGAAGCAAATGATACATGTGGTTTATTACAAAAGATCGTTAAGAATGTAAATCCTGTCTCTGCAAATATTAAACTTTTTTAGACATTTGACAAGGAAAAATGATTTAAGTGTAAAATTTTAAAATTGGGAATGTGTTTTAATGTTTGAAATATTTGTTTTCAACTAACTGATTCACTGAAGATTATTTACAAGGAGGATTTGACTTGCATGTTGCGTAATGGAAAAATAGTCCAGTTCTTCCCAGAGTATTAAGTCAGTTTGATTAAATTGTTCAGAAAATACTGTAGTTGGAGGATTCTAAAAATTTCCCACATGCATTCGCAAAAACTTCATGACTGAGCTTTCACTGTGATTCTTTAGTGTTTTAAAAATGCAATTTGATCTTAGCAGCCCAGGTAGAACCAAGCTACAGGCAGAGCCAGGGGATTCATGTTTGACTCCATCCCTCAAGGTCAGTTTTCCTTTTCTAAGGACCTAAAACAGTAAATGAAAATATCACAAATGAACCTTATTCAGCCTGTGTAAGCATACTACTGTAAGCATATTGTACCGAGTTTAGTGAGCGACTTCACCTGTGTAAGGGAGTAATACATAGTGTCAGGTAAACTTAAGACAAAACCAGATTTTAGAAGTTTGTTAATAGCAGATTATGTTGATAATGCATGTTATTTTCCTCTTTTTAAGGCAGATTTACTATGGAAGTGAATCTTGCGCATGCTTGCTTGTGCATCTGTCTGCCAGTCAACTTCCTAACATCTCTCCCTCAGAAGTTTTAGCTTTTTCAAATTTATTGTGGGTGAGAGAGAAAAGTGGAAAAAATAAAGACTGTCTACGAAATTCTCCATTCCCTTAGAAGAAAAAAAAATAAAGAAGTAGCTACTACTGCTGAAAGAGGAGCTGTAACATGAATTGAACTGTTGTCGGTATAGACGGGCTTGTGCATGCACATTAGCCAGCTAATAAATGTCTTTGAAGATCCGAACCTGACACAGTACAGGCTGCCTCTTGCCCCACGAAAAATTAAAGGACTTTGGAAAGTACTACACAGTGGTTTAGATTACTTGGGTAATACCTGAAGATGCTACAGTGTAATGGAGCATAAAGGACATAGAACACAAGGCAAATTCAGGCTTCATCATTCTGTAACCTGCAGGATAAATTTGTTAACTTTATTTTGAGGGAGAGGAAATTGAATATTTTTCCAATTCATCCTATTTTAAAAAATATATATATATATATATATATATATGTGTCTAGGAATGTGGTTCTTGTCTTAGAACAGCCTTCTAGACAGAGGAAGTAACTTTCTGCTCTTCTGCCAGTTCAAGCATAGCCTCTTTTGTTTAGGGTAGCCTGTAGGCTGCCAACGGGTTCTGTGCCTTGGGGAAGTTCATGTGGTTGATCAGCCCCACGTTTTGTTGTGGCCTCTGACAGAGCTGAAGCTTTATTGTTGTCCTGTTTATTATCAATATGATGAACTTTTTAAAGAGAAACTTCAATAGTGCTTTTTATTATGCAATTTTAAAAGATTGAAACTTTTAGTCCTGCTAAGGATCTGTATTTCCATTTGGAAATTCTTTGGAATTGTAGTGCCTCAAGGCTGAAAGCTAAAAAATTTAATATGTTCTTTGGTATGCAATTTTTTTCCTAAGTTGTTCTGTCCTAATTTAAGTGTTTAGGATGCCAACTAATATAGAAAAATATCCTTAAATGCATTAATCTTTGGAGGACCTAATATTATACTACTGAAATCAATTAAAAGCCTATTTTCACACCTACAGAGTTTTACAAGACTTTAAAACAAGGTCTTAAATGTTAGACTTAATGTGGAAGTTCTTTTCCAATGTCTTGAAATTTGCAGCTATTGAATTCTGAATTTTGAATTTTGTCACTACCACATAACTTAAAGACAATTATTTAAATTCATTCTGCCTTAGCTTAGCTTTTTCTTAAAAAAAAAAAAAAGTAAGAAAGAAACTCAAGCTAGCTTATTTTGTAGAGGGTCTTAAAGTTCTACTTTGTTTTTGTAAATAAACAAAAGCCCATATGCACAGATATTGAATTTAGTTGCATTTATGTATATTTGGAGTAATGTACTTGCTCTGAGTTCATCTCTTCTTAAGGAAGACAAGAGTGCATTTAATGAGAACAGTATTTCAGAAATACAGTTAGCTCCTGTGTTCCACTTCCTCATGATAATGAGGAGAAATAATTTATGGAAGATACTACTATTTTTAATCAAAATCACATTAGTCTCAGGTATAAGACAGAACTCTGCGTAGAACTGTGACATTTATTGAATCATTAACTTGATAGGATTATGCAGTTATCAAGTATATGAATTTTTTGAATTTTTATGTATTTTGAATGTGGCATTGCTACAGAATCGTCTGTGAAATGCAAGTTGATATTTCCTGGAAAATACTGAATACAATTCTTCTTAGAAATAATTCAGCCTTTAGGTTGCTTCTTAATATATGCCTTACAGGAACTCAGTAAGAAATTAGCTTATTCTTGAACAACCCACTATTCTCCAGCAGAGCAAATAATTCTTTTGACAGGTGAGTCGGATATTGCCTGGAAATAATCCAGCATAAATTTTCAACCTTTAAATTTCCTGAATGCTTTGGAAGAATGTTCTACAGTAGATTTATAGATTTTTTTTAAAAAGACACCTAGAATGAGGGGTTCTGTGTGAGGATAGATTATATTACATTAAATTGATATTTTTTAATCATCCTTTAAATAGGCAAGTAAGAATCATGGTTTTAGGTTCTCAGTTTAATTCTAATTTTGCGTTCATATCTTTAAATTATTTTTCTGATGCACAAAATGATTCTTGTGATGATTTGCAGCTCAGAGACAATAATGTGTTTGCCCTAGGTATGTCCACTCTGATTGCTGGGCAGAAGGACATGGAAGCTACACAGCTGAATTTTTATTTATTGGTCTACGTTACCTATTTTGATGAGAAGTGCTGCTTGGTAGTGTTCTGTAGTGTATTGACTGGGGCACTTTCTGGGAAGTGTCTTTCGGTCCTTGCCAGTTCTCATTCCTTGCACTGTGGGTTCTGCATTTCACTCACATCCAAGTTCACATGAGACAGGGAAGGTCATTTCACTGAGCTGGGATGGTCCCTTAGAAGGACTAGAGCTTTGCTTGGGGTTTCTTACTTCTCGTTAAACTGTAGGTTTAAACTACAGTAGCAAGCTGTTGTGTAGCCTGCTCTACTTTAATTCCATTTGTGAACAGTGATTCAGATGAGACAAAAAGTTTGAGTATGAAGAGATGTTTCTGAAATAAATGCTTTTCTAGGAGGAGAGAGATTTGACCTGACAGGCAATGAGTTCGTGCTGTGCAAGGGCTAGAGGTCAGTGTAGTCAAAGGCACAAAGACCAGTGTGTGGCATGAAGATCACGGAGCTAAGATGGCAGTAAGCAGCACGAGGGACCACCAGGGAGCCAGAGCGTCTTCCTGTTGTCATCTCCATCACTTTGACACTTGAGGGACTGCAGTTATATTCTATGCCTAAGCTAAATCACATTCCTTGTGCCTGCAGAAAAATTGTTACAAACTTGCACATACTTAAACTTATTCTAAAAATGTCTTTTGTAGATGTTTTGGTATCAGTAAAATTATCAAGATCAAATTAGCAAAAAAATCCTTCCATACCCTATCAGCATCTGGATGATGACTGAAAGCATCAGGTTTAGATGTAAAATGCTGGCCGATATGTCAAAATTAATGTCAGTTAGCTCTTTATTTTTTTTATTTATTTTTTTTAATACTGTGTGAAAGGTTAATGATATTTCGATGCCGAGAGAACTGAGAATCTAGTTCTGTGTTGTGACCTACATGCAAAGAAAAGCTGATAGGAATACCCATTATTGGTAAGAATTCTCAATAAGATTGTGTTAAAAATATTTCCCATACAGGCAGTACAGTATATTTTGTAGTTTTTAAAATTTGCATAAGGTATGTTGCATTCATTAACCACATTTTTTTTCGGTTAATTAAGTCTTTCTGTATTTTTTTCAGTTTTACTATGCAGGTTGGGATCTTTACTAAACAAAATCTCTCCTGTTGTAATGTTTACCACATAAACTGTAGTATTTAAAAAAAAAAAAAAACTTAAAGCTTAGATTGATGTTATGTAAAGATTCTAGTTCCCTGTTGTTTTACTTTGTTGAAACTCAGTGATTTGCTAAATTGGAAATTTCATGGACTGCTTTCCAAAATGCTCATCTATTACAAATGACTTAGTGACATTTGTTGTGAATTTTGCTGTCTGCTGACTAGATGAATCTCCAACTTTCAGACAGCACAGCAACCTCATTTGGATTTATCTCACATTTTTTCTTTATCTGCAGAATTAGACTGGCTTAGTAACCCAAGCTTCTCAGCAGAGGATGCGCTACGACTGCATCAGCATACTACAGAAGCTGCAAAGCTCACTCCTGAAAAATCACCACTAATCAGGTAGAATATAGTTCAATATTTTTGTAAATAGCCTCATTATTATGGCCTGACAATCTTTTGTTATGTGTGACCAAATTCAGGAGCTTTCAGTGCTGCTTTTCACTTCACTGCTCAGTTTTCATTTTTACTAAAAAGACCTGAACTGAGTCATGTATAACAGTATGAATAATGCTTCCATGTTTTTTAACTTAAAATAATGAGAAATTATACTTGTATAATTACATTCCCATTTTCTTTTTTTTCACACAGCTGTATTTAAATCTTGGTTAGTTTCGCAGGGAGCGGGGACTTGGTGATCCTGATTCTTCATTAGCTTTTCAATGCCCTAAGTGACCCTTGAAATAATGTAAAGATTGAGTATCATCTTTGATACTCAAAACCAATTCAATCAGCCGTTTTGCAGTCAAGTATAGGAAATTTTTTACTTTTATGAAACTAGCTGAATATGTGAATTAATGAAATATTGCATATATAACATGCAGCTGTGCAGAACATGCTGATCACTGAAGTGGCTGACTATTTTCTTTTACAAAAAATAAGCTTTAAGCGGACAACTGTTGAAGAATTGGCAGTATTATGCAACTTGCACGAGAATAGGTGTTCTCTGTGTATCAGTATTCAAGACTCTGTTGACTATAATCAAGACTTAGTAACTAATGGAGCCATTAATCCATTTTTGGAGTTTGCTGTCATAGCAAAGTTTAGAACCTTAATCCAGCTTTATTTGATACAAATTCATCTGTTTATGTTGACCATTGCTGGTAGTAATAGAAAATATATTCATAACAAAAAAACACAGCTGAATACCACTTCCCATATGCCTTTTACGTTTAGGTATACACATATTGTGCAAATGAAAACTGTTTGTAATCAGCAATTTATTTTTCTTCAAATATTTTTAGGTTTTTCATATTATGAAACTAAGAAATTCACAAATTGTCCTTCAAATAGCATGCTACAATAAAAATGCCTTTTTTCAATCTTTGAAAAGGAGTTTGGACACAGAAAATGTACACAGAGGAATATGTTTGTTTGTTTAATCTTTTTGTCTATTAATAGCATACACTCAATTCAATGAGCAGTAACTCCACTGGAGTGTGTGTAGGGTTCGCTTATCGCTTCTCCTGCGGCATCCATTTTTTCCTAGTACATTTAAATAAAGACACTGATTTGTGCAAGGCTCTCTTTGGATGTGCTCTGTTTCTGAAACAACGTATATTCTTTGCTGATGTATTATGAATATTGAGCTTTGTCACTCCTTTTCTTCACTGAAATATTCCTGACAATTTCAGACACGGTTTAAAATGAGGTTGTGTCTTAGTAAAGGAGTTAGATATATTGGTTCTTAAGGAAAGACATATGTCATTCCAGCTGATCATTAAGTATGGGTGTGCAGGTATTGCATACAATGAAATGCATGCTTTCTGCCAAAAATAACTCTCCCTTTTTTCACTTTTTGATAAGTTAGTTGTCATTTGCATGTAGTGTTCATTATTACATTATTTTATATGACAGCATTAATGCTGAAGTCACCCACCGTGGTTCCTTGAGAGATAAGATTTGAATTTTCAGTCTGAAAGTGATTTTTTTTTTTATGTTTCCAATATTTCTTAAGCAAATCATAAAGAAAGAAGGCGAAAGAGTTGATACGTTTTCTCTTTTTCAAGGTTATCCAGAAAGTTTTCCGATCTTTCTACCTTGATCAGAGTTGGCTTAACGAAGGAGTTAGGAAGTCGTATTGGGTTGAAAATCAAGTCATGCTTGAATTTGATGATGATAACAGATGGATATTGATGCAGTTCACACATCAAAATGTCTTTTTATTCAGTAGTTCCAGAATTCGGGGCGGGGGGGGGGAATAAAGGTTATTTTCATTTAATGCTGATTCATTTCACACATATAGTTTATGTTGCTGTTAACTCTCATCTCCAAAAATGTAAGGAGAATCAAGATAGAGGGTAAAAGGACTGCAAACTTCCTTTCTTTCAAACTTTTTTTTACAGTTTTACTAGTAAAGTATTTAAGGAATTGTTTCCTATCAGGAATACTTCGAAATCAGATCTGTCAGAGGAAAGCGATACACATGAAAATCTAGACAAGACAAGTAAGAAGACAAAAAAGAAAAAGCATCACCACCATAAGAAAACAAAAAGGAAAACCAGAGAGGACTCCAGTAGCAGTGAATCAGACCTGGACTCTAAGAGCATCAAGGACAAATCTACAGGAAGTGGTAGAAGTCGTGAAAAAGAAGCAACTACCACGTATGTACTTAGTATAGTGCCAGATGCAAGTTCACTCTGTATATGTTTCTTTAACTTTGTGAATGAAGTTCTTGCCAGTGGTGGCATTGTCCTTCTTCAGAACAAAACAGGGAATGGCAATAATGAAACATATGTTTAAAGACATAGAGACTTATTTCAAAATTTTCGTAAGCTTCTTATTTCCTTTCATGGGCCTTTGATTAACTGAGAGAAATTGGAGAGGTATTACATTTAACATTATTTTTCATCCAGTGACTTAAAAGGCAGCTATTTTCTCTTATAATAATACCTTTCTCTTCACAGATTTAATGTTTCCTTTTTTTTCCCCCATATTAAGAGTTGTATGAATCTAGCATTATTTATTACATCCAGCCTTTAGCTATTTTTTGATATATGCTGCACGTTTCATACATCTTGTTCATGCTACATCTAAATGGGTATTTGAGTGTCTGAAATTGTTTTATTTGATCTTGTTTGTTGATTCCAGGAGCTGTAAAATACCGTGTAATTAGCAAAGGTGTCATTCCTATTCAGAATAAGGAAATAGATTTCTAGTAGATACTGTCATCTTTGATCAGAGAAAGAGGTTGTGTGAATGTACCGACTATCCCAGTTTGGCATACGTAGCCCTGCATTTTTTTATATTCACTTGGGTTTTGATCATCTCATTCGAAGTATCCCAGTCTGGGTGAGGATTAGTGGAAATTCTCCTCCACTGTTCATATAAATCACCTTTCCCTGTTTCTCATCATGCTTCCTTATTTGAGGAGCCGTTCTGCCTTTCTTTGATTCCCTACTTCCTGTCATTTGAATAGTATCAGCTGCTCTGTCTCTGATTCACAGCATCTTTTTAAGTGCAGTTAAGTCATGTGAAATTCTAGAAAGCTTCTCAAGATTATAACAATCTGGTTGCATATTTAGAACATTAATTCTGATGAGGAGTTCAAAGTGTCCATAGTTCTTAGTTCTTTATACCCATGCGTTTGATAAAATGAGGCTCACAATTTTAGACTGTAGTTTACCAACAGATTAAGTGGTTAAACCTGATTATTGCCTTTAATAATCCTGGAAGTCCTGGAAAAGCAATGAGTGTATGCTTTTTTATTATTGATATTAATTGTTTTGATGGTCCCTTTACTGCCAATTTGTCATCATGTGACTAACTTTGCAATAATGATTCATGTACCATAACTTTGAGTAAATTACTATGAGCTACAGAAATGCAGCTGTTTCTGGTTTTGTAGATGCTGAATATGTGCCACAAATATTTAGAAAATATTTCTCTCTTTTTTTTTTTTTTCAGTCAAGATAGTAAAACATCAAATCTTACCAGCAATCGCTTTGTTTGGCTTGATGATGTCCAGGCTTTCACATCAGAAACGTTCAGAATAGACAAGAAATCAGATCCTGCAAACTGGGCCTACAAATCTCTATATCGAGGGGATATTGCAAGGTGCAGTATGTTGGTTTGTACTGGAATTCAGTCTATCTCAAGAGTCATTTACTTCAGTCTGGTTGTGAAAAGCTATAAAATTTAAATTTAATGTTGAAAATGAGAGAATGAGAGAGAGATTATAACAAATACCTGAATAGTTTAAACCAAAATTTAACTTTGTATTGTGTGGAAATATTTTAAAAGTGAAAAGATACCATGAAATAACAAAAATAAAGTGCATCACCTTCATTTTTATAGAAGTACATACTTGCAGGCTACTACAGAGTAAATAAACTTACAGAACTAGCATTTGGAGATGGCTGTATAGCGCAGATATAAAAACACATGTTTGTAGTCAAAAGTTCTAGGTTCTGTTCTGTTCTACCCAGTGTGTGGGTAATTATCCTTTTTGATTTCTCTATTGCCCTGTTTAGTCTCTAAAGAGGAAAATAAAGATGATAATTATTGCACACTGTATTTGTGAGATTTAATTGTTTGCAGGATTAGATATCCTTTCCTGAAAGGTGTAATACTTTCTTAGGAAATGGATTCTGTGTTAGATCACCCAGACTGTTTGCCGAAAAGGTATCTTCCTTGCACAGGTTGCTGTATTTCAAGTGATATTAGATGAAATTGCATATTTAACATCTTTGGTGGGATACTGGTATTATGACCCCAGAATACAGGTATCATGCAATAGCAGAGATGCCCATCTAAGGGAACATACCCTTGCCTCGTGTATTATTTCTGCCCACCTTTTTCTTGATATTCTCAGGGGAAAAATGTTTATTATGTATAAAAAAATAACTATTTGCAAAGAGGAGATTTATGGAGCTTATTTTAGTGTCCGTACCTTTGCAGTACAATAGCCTACTTACAGTCCATTTCAGTTTTGTGCCACCTTCAGACTTGCCTATTGCTTGAGATGGAAAGTATTGCTTTAGAATTGCACATCATTGGTTCAGTCACTGAAATGACATTTTTGGTAATATTTTCATTTGTCAGTCTTTAGGATCACTGTGGACTCTTTACTTTTTTTCTGAACTCTTCCTCTCCCTTTTCATCTCAATGCCACTGTCTGCCTCCCTTTATTGGCATCTAAGATAGATAGAAGCTTAGGGATACAAAAAGATATTACAGGACTGAACTACTGGTGTCTGATTGAACTCATCTAATATGAATAGAAGTCTTAAATGATATTCCATCTGCTGTGCCTTCTCCAAGTTTGTCTAAATGGGAAGAATGGCTTAAAGTTATAAGAGGAAGATCTTCACTAACACATTATTTAAGTCAGAGGAAATGTAGTATGATAATAAAAATTCTGATGGTACTAAAAAACATGTAATTGGAGCATTGCATAAGGAAAAGATACCAAGTTTTTCTTGCACACTAAATCTCTGTTTATATATTAAATGGGTAAATTTGAAGTGCTCAATGTAGGCTTACTTTTGAAAAGAAGATATCTTTTCTAAATGTGTTTTAAGAGATTTAACAGTTTTTTTCCATACAAGATATAAAAGGAAAGGAGAATCCTGTCTTGGCATAGATGTGAAGAAACAACGTATAACATGGGCCGGTTCCGCATCAGAAAAGAAGCGGTCGCAGAAGCAGCCTGAGCGCTATTTCACAAAGAACAATGTGAAGATGCTGACCACAGATGGGATTCCTGTTTACAGTAAAACTTCTTCATCTGACACCACTCCTTTTATACCAGTTCCCCAAATTGAAACTGATGATCCTCCTGACTCAACAGAGGTAAATCCTCTTGGGATTTATGATCCGTCTACTACAATGTGGCTGCAAGGGAAAGGGTGCAAAGATACAGGCCTCGAGCCTACAACGCAGCAGGCATCCCAAGAGCCAGGGATAAATACCAGCTCCATTCTGATGTCCAAAGTGGAAGAGCATAACAAGAAGGTCAGAGAAAACCCAAGAGATATTCATGCTTGGATGGAGTTTGTTTCTTTTCAGGTATGTTTCTGATAGATCTGATTATTCACAATATAGTAATCAAGTAAAATAATGTTATATTTTCATTTATTTAGAACTATGTGGCTTTAATGGCAAAGAGTGAGCTGTTGATTCATTTTCACAAATGACAACCTCCCTTTGTGGTGTTTCTTCCTAATGTTGTCATGATTTCTTTTTATTTTAAGGACGAATTAATGAGAGGACCTAGCCCTTATGCCAGTAAGGGAGAGCAGGAAGTAAGAAGAAAATCACTGAAGTTAATATTGGAAAAGAAACTAGCTATTTTAGAGAGGGCTATTGAAAGCAATCCAGGTAACGTTGATCTGAAACTCGCCAGGTTGAAGATTTGCACAGAGTTCTGGGAACCACCAGCTGTGATCAAAGAATGGCAGAAGCTAATTTTCTTACATCCCAATAATCCAGAACTGTGGAAGAAATATCTCCTGTTCTGTCAAAGCCAGTTCAGTACTTTTTCTGTTTCAAAAATCAATAGTCTCTATGGAAAATGTTTGACTACATTGGCAGCTGTACATGATGGTAGTATGGTATCACATCCACTGCTGCCTGGCACAGAAGAAGCTATGTTAGGTAAGGTTCTTTTTATTTATTTCATGTTATGGTCATAAAGCTCTTTATAGGAGTTTACTGCATTCTCTATAGAAAAAGGTTTTCGTATGTATTATGGGAGATTTTTATTCTCCTCAAAATGTTTGGTATCCTGATTCCTGAGCTGAGAATTGAAGCAAATATTCCAACCAAATATGGATATAGCAGATGCTTTCCTTCCCCAGGAGACTTTGTGATATAACATTCAGAAAAGTCTAATGTGCTGCACCATTTACAGTACAAATGTCAAGGTTAGAGAACTGCAGCCAACACCAGAGATGTGCTTTTATCTTAGAAAATGATTTAAAAAATAGTTGGCTTGTGAAAGAGACAGTTATCTCTTGTTCAGAAGTTTCATACTTAATTTCCTTAATCTGGAGAAGAAAAGGGTAATGGAAAGTCTAGCGTGAAATTTTCTTGATAAACTCTGTCAGCAGATTAAGAATTCTGAAACAGATGATGATGTCTTTTGTATTTATTATATACATATATCTACAATTTATAATTTATAATTGTCTCTGGAAGGAAAATAAGACAGATGGTTAAGATGCTGGACCACATCCAGGAAAGAAATTGGGTTCATGCTCGGTTTTGACACGAGCTTTAAATTGATTTGGAGCTAGATGACTTAACCTGTTGTGCTTCAGTTCATTGGACTTCTCTGCCTCAAAGGGTCCTTGTGGTTATTAATCTATAAAAAACACTCAGGGAGGAAGTAGTGGTGTCGCCATAAGTATGATTTTTTTTTCTTTTAAAATTTGCTTTAAAACTATGGGAGAATATTAGGAGGAGGTAGTTGACCTTTCTTTATATGTGGTGTAGGCCAAGAAATCTGTTCAGTTTGAGTGATATAATAGCTATTATGTGATATCCAGTGTGGATGTAAAGACTTGAGTTGTTGGATTACCAACTAATTGAAGTGCGATATCTTAACGATGTTTTTTCGATCATCTTGGATCAACCACTGGAAAATGTGCTGTAAAGGAAAAATCTTGTACTTGCAGGTGGATGTTGGACTGCCTGATGTTCTCTAAGTACTTCTGCCTTCTCTAATTTCTGACACTTAATTCACTTCCTACACCATAGTGAATGTTTCTCAGGGCAAATGTATTATTGAGCCTTTATTTCTCAAACAGGAAGGATTCTTTTTTTCTCCTCATGGGGAACGTAGTTGATTTGCTTAAATATTGGTTTTCAGTAGGGTCCATTTTTCAAAAAACGTCAATCAAACAGTAAACATAATTGTTGACAATGTATAGGTTGATTTTCATTTTTGTTTCTGTTCACTCTTACTTTCTTTTTGTGTTTTAAGAGTGATTTATTTACATACTTCTTCCCCCCACCCACCCCGGCACTGAAATAGCAGGAATGGGGAAACTTCCAGTTGTTTGGTGTTTTTTAGTACTTCCACCATCTGTAACTCTTGGGCTAAAGCTGGACTGATGGTGTCCTTTTACTTATTAGGAAAACTACCAGATTGTCCACTCAGATTAAATCCCCGAAGTGCTTCGCAAATTAGTTACAGAGTGGTATTGTAAATGCATGGTAGGCTTCTATGTTGAACCTTTTACAAAGTGCAAGAGCTGCTTTTCAGTAGTGGTATGCTGTGCCATCTAGTGTTCAGCAGCATACGTTTCCTTCTTGGAAATGTAGGAGTCATTTTTAAAGCATGAAATTCAGGAAAGCAAGTAAAAATTATTTAAAAAGTCCAGATCAGTCTTTATTTCAAAATTTTTGTTTGAGATTTAATAGTTCAAATTTACTAGGTTTTGTAGCTATAAAGTTAATGCTTATGCGCACTTTTGTTTTTTAAATACCTTTGAAAATCTCTCTGATACTTAGTGAAGAAGAAAAACAGTTACTTTGCAGGAGACACTAGCAAAATGCCTAGTTTGCATGTTCCAGGTGAATTGAAATTTTTATGCCTACGCATCTGACCTCAGTCTTCATGCATAGTAACCAGAGTACAACATTTGCCATTTGCATGTATAGAAAAATAAGATGGTCATCACAATCAATTGAATTTATATATGAATATATAAATAAGTAAACTGGGGCCATGTTTCCCTTTGTAGAGTGGGCCTTGAGGCCCTATGTGTAGCAGGGCTACAGAAGTGATTGCAGTAATATGTTGTTGAAGGACAGGGGTAGGCCTTGCTACTTGCAAGTGTTAATGCTTTAGCCAAGAGACCAGTCTTTTCTTAACTGAGATTTTGCCTAAATGGAAAGAAAACAGGAATGACAGTTGGAAGGAAAATGCTTTATTACCAAATATATTGCCAGTGTAACTATCTCTTGTAAAAATGACGCAAAAAGTATTTGTTGCGCTGATTTACTGTGTGAATTGTAATAATACCAGCATCTCTAAAGATGCTGTGACAGATGCTGGATAAAATGAAGTCAAGATTCCTACATATAACTTGTTTTCATTGACACGTGCAGTACATGCGTGACATGAATTTGGGACACATATATAAAGTGAAGGATTTGAAAGTTTTGACATGCATTTGTGACAGTTATTCCATGTTTGAGTCCTGGGTTTCAATAACATTCCAGGACAGCTAAGCTCCACAGCAGTTCTTGCTAGAACATGCATGTCTTTTGTATATTTGTGAACTGTAATAAAACATAGTGAATTTCTGGTGAAGCTTTAATATTTTGTCTCCTTTATTTACAGCTATATTTCTTCAGCAGTGCCATTTTCTGAGACAGGCTGGCCATTCTGAGAAAGCAGTGTCTTTGTTTCAGGCTCTGATTGACTTCACTTTCTTTAAACCTGACAGTGTAAAGGACCTGCCAACAAGGGGACAGGTAACAATTTCATTTTAAATGGGTTTATGTCCTTGTGCATTAGAAAGGATGCTAGTAAGGAGAAAAAAAAAAAAAAAGGAGCTGGTGACGAACTTTTAAGGACAAGGGATTACATTTTGAATTGTAACTTACTTTGGGGTTCTTCACAGTAGCCACTGCAATTTTCCACTGCAGAGAAAAGTTTCTGTAGTGTCAAATGTCCATTTCTTTTCTATATAATGTGTGATAACCAGTCATCTCATGTCTTCTTTCTTACTAATTAAAGATTGAGAAAAAAATCAGCTGGCTGTCAAATCAGCACTTCTATATTGGTTGAACTGATGTCTGCTATATTGGATGTTTTCATTAAATGTTTCTACTTTACTTTATAAGTCCACTGCTTCAATTCATTTTTCTTCACTTCATACTTGATGCACTACTTTCAAGCTCTTTATCTTGTGTGGACTTTCGCACATGGACTTGCTTCAAGTTCTACTATCCGTAACTACATGTGCACTTTGATGTGATAATCTGACCAGAAAATTAAGTAACTTCAGGATTCCTTAAATAATGTTCTGGTTTAGGGTCCATTAAACAACGTAGTGGAAAACTGAAGTTGACCCAGTTAGTCTTTGTACAGAATGATTACTCTATATGTGACAGCTTTTCTTTTGTTTGCTTTGTTTTGCTTGGCTTTGCTTTTTTTTATTTTTTTTTTTTTTTCCTTGCTATACAACAGGTGGAATTCTTTGAACCATTTTGGGATAGTGGAGAACCTCGAATTGGAGAAAAAGGAGCCAAAGGCTGGAACGCATGGATGCACCAGCAAGAAAAGGGTGGCTGGATAGCTGTTACCAAGCCTGGTATGTCCACATCAGTATGTGTAGATGTTTTCCAAATGTTCTTCTAAAGAGTTTATTTAGAATGATAAACGTTTTTGTTTTTTTTCTTTTCCTTTTTTTTTTCCCCTCTCGTGTCTTTGCATGCAAGTTTTCAAAAATATTTATGAAGATTAAAATAAACTGAGTCACACTTGGGAGGAAAAACATCTGCTTTGTATGTTCTGTGTTCAGTATTGTTCATGGAATATTGTTGTCCTTTCCAGCAATTAAAAATGGAGGGAAAGGATGGCATGTTCTGAAAAGGATAGAAATGTGAGCTCTTCATTGAGACCTGTGCCTGTCTGCTGTGGTAGGGTCTTTATCCCCTAAGGTCTTTTTCATCATATTCATAGCCCCGTAGGGATTACAGTGATAGATGATAGTTTCCTCAAGGATAGTTTGTTTCTAAGAATATATGTCTGAAGAGTTTCTTTGTTAGATCAGAAGAATGATTTTTTTTTCCAAAAAATATTTAGCTGACCATGAATTTTGAGGAGTTTTGCTGAAAGCAAGGGAAAAAAGTGTGAAAAGTCTCTGTGTGCCTCCTATTAGCTTAGATATTTTTCAGTAAGAGCTCATCAGTTTCAGCACAGAGTAAACTGCTGTCACAGGAAGAATACACTAATTGCATATAACAGTCTAAAATGGTTATCATAAAAGTGCAGTTTAGTTAAACACTTCTTTTTCTGTATGTTTAACTTCATTAGTTGATCCTATGGCATAGTAATTAAAATGATGTTGCTGAAAATATTGGGTAGTTTAAAGCACGATTACCAATCTTACTATGTGATACTTAATATCATAGTAATACTTTTTATTTAGAGTTCTTCTTTTCAAAATGGTTTATGAACAATAATATTCATAAAGCACATATGAAATAGGTTCTTCATACCTGGGCAAGTTAAGTTATATAAAAAGATGACTGGCTGTTGGTTGTTGCTTACAAGCAGCAGTTGAGAAAGTAGTCTCAGCCAGTTGGGGGCTTATTTTCTGCTCTGTGAGGAGGTTTGAGTGCTGACACTGATCCACTGGTTTAAAAAGCTTGAAAATCTCCTGCTTCTACAGAGTTGGTATCAAATTTATAACTCTGATGTGCAAATTTTCAGTACAGTCTCATGTCTGTTATAATAACATAACTAAGTCTGGTCTTTAGAATTAGTGGGTTAGTTTTTTTTTCTTTAATAATTTTGCTGGGGGATGCTATTGATTTGTTTATAGATGATGATGATGAAGAGATAGATGAGGATCAAGAAATAAAGAATAAAACTCTACCAAAATGGCAAATTTGGCTGGATATTGAATATTCTCGTGAAGCAAGACAATGGTTACCTTGGAGGCCAGACAAAACCAAAAAGCAGACTGAAGAAGACTGTGAAGATCCAGAAAGACAGGTTATTGTTATATAACAAAACAATAGGAGATAAGACAAATTATCCTTATATATAATTTCATTGCCAGTGGGTATGTTAGACAAATAATTCTTCTATTTGGAATTCCCATTTCATATATGCCTTTCTATTGAGACTGCTGAAGTCCGTGGGAGGGTCTTAGTGAACTTTGGAAAGGGCTGTGACCAAATGGTCTGTCCTTGTTGTTATGTGATTTTTATCTCATCTGCATGTGTTTAAAATACCTGCTTTAAATAAGCAAAGGATGTATTGCCATTCAGGTCCAATCAGGTATTGATTTCAAAATACAAATGAGTCAAATAGCATAAACAGTAGTATCATTTAGCCTCATTGTGTAAGCTTCCTTTGGAGGTCCTCAGTGATACAGAAGAAAGAAATATCTTTTTAACAGCCTTAGAATCTGAGTGAAAGAATGCTTTGCTTGTTCAGCTTGTCTGTTGTCAGTTTGAATGAAATTCTCTCATCATTTAATAGAAACTATGAATTGTTATTGACTTAAACTTCTTCAGTTAATTACATACATTTAATGTTGGCTTTTTATCTGATTGCATCAATTGACAGAGTTTTTTGGTGTTCAGGTATTATTTGATGACCTTGGACCATCTTTAATTCAGCTCTCTAGTCCCGATCTTCAGCGTCAGTTAGTGTACTCATTTCTGCAATTCCTGGGAGTTCCATGTACAAGTAGACTCTTTCCTTCAAGCCTCTACATCGCCATGGATGAAAATAACATTTTTGACAGTGTGCTTTCTGATGAAAAGCCACTGACTTCTTTTGATTTGCAACTTTCTGGATTCAACAGTATTGGTCACATGGATACGATGCCGAGAAGAAGACATCACATAGGCCACTATAAGGAAGGAGAGGAGTTCATACAGAATGTTTTTCAATTCCTGCTGTTTTCAGGAAAGGAAAAATCTAATCTCTCTGCTTGCTGGTTACAATATGAAATATCTAAGGTATTGTGGATTTTTCATTCAATTGTTTTTGTGATGTGTGGCTTTCTTGTGTATTAATGTTTATATTTAATTAAAATAGATGCTGAGAAAGTTAAGTCTGGTTAGGCCAAGTGTTTAAATAAAGAAATGTTAGTTAAGATTATATCAGGAAAGAAATGAAACTCCGTTCCTTAGTGCATGTTACACAATGGCATACACTTTTTCATAATAATAAAATATTTCTTGCAGTCTTAAATATTATGTTGTTTATTTTTCTCAACCATTTCCGATTAGCAACTCCTTCATGTGAGGAGTTGGTCTCTTTTTAAAGAGTGAAAATTCTTATTATTTATGACAGTTTTAGGAGTGAGAGTGATTTGTGTAATTTGGCTATGTTGGAAGAAGTTGATGGAACATTTCAGGAGAGAGTAAGCATTTCTTTGTAGTATCGCTCAGAAATCTGCTTGTAGTGGCTTATGGCTGAAAACAGGCAGCTCTGCCAACTTATAACACTCAGTAGTGGTTAATCTCACCAGTGGTGAAGTGTGGAATGATACAAAAACAAACAAATGAAATCAAATAATGCTGTGATATTTTTGTTTGTTTTCTTTCTTTTTTTTCTCATGTCTCTTGTATATTCTCTTCTTCAGGTAATTCAGTGTCTCCAAACAAAAAGGAAGAAGAAGCTGAAAGTGCAAGGGAAGAAAAGTAAAAAATTGGCCAAGAATCTCCTTAAAGCACCTGACAACCGCAATCACCTCTCCCTTTGGAAGCTGTATGCCTACCTGGAATGGCTACTTGGGAACGTCGACGATGCCAGGAAGGTGTTTGATACAGCTCTTAGCACGGCAGGGACAGGAGGAGTGAAGAACCCCCAGCTCTGCAGCCTGAGTCTGCTCTATGCTCAGCTGGAAGTGGAACTGCTAGAAAGTCTAGAAGGGGCCGTCATGTCACGGGCTGTTCATATATTGACCAAACTGGCTGAAAATGGACCATATGTGCCTTATAGTGGACAAGTAGTATCCATTAATATCTTGAAAGCTAGGAAGACATATGACCATGAGGTGCAAGATTATTTAAACAACATCTCAGCTGCTAATCGGGATCAGGTCAGTGACTCTAATCACCTGGTTAACTTGGTTGGTTGTTGTGCACTTTTCCAGTATTTGACTGTTGGGATTGATGCTGCAGTACTAATATATACACGAGCTTTGGAAAAGCTTGAAGCCCCTGATCCAAAGAACTGTGATAATCCTGGAGAGAATCTTAGTGTCCCAAATTTCCCTGCGGCGCTCGAAGACCTTTCATTGCTGCACACAAACTTACTGAGGTTCCACATGAAAATCGGTGTCTACCCTTTGAATCCGCTGCGAGAGGCGCTCGCGGCCGCGCTGAAGCGGCACCCCCGTAACCAGGCTCTCTGGAGGTCCTACATCCACGTGCAGAGGAAGTCTCACAGCGCGAGCAAAGCACGGAGGTTTTTTGATGGTGTCACGAGGTCCACTTGCTCTTTAGAGCCATGGCTGTTTGCAATTCGAGCGGAGCAGATGAGAAAAACGCTCATTGAGACTGTCCAGAGGTAATACTTGGGAGGGCCTTAGCATCTTGTGGGTTTTTTCTTTTCTTTTCTTTTCGTTTTTTTTGTTTTTGTTTTTGGTTTGTCTGATCCCTTAACAGAGAAGGGAAAATGTTGTCATTTTGCAGAAGAAAAAACTGCAGCTAGGGGAGACTTTTTTGCTCAATCCTGGACAGTGAGTAAATGGCAGAGTCCTGAATGGAATTAAAGACCACGATTATAGTCTCATGTTTTTCTCCTAGCTCAGTTTTTCTCCTAGTTTGTTGATTTGATTACTTGACACTGATATCAGGATATCATTTCTTTAAATAATTAAAAAAAAAATAACCATCAGCTTAGAGGACCAAAGTGGATATTAATAACTTGGAAATTTTAGTACCATAGAGCTAAGGAGTGTAATAGAGAGCTGCATTTCAGTTTCTTGCTGGGCCCACTGCCCTGTTTTATTCCTGGATCACAGAATACAATTGTGGCAGATTTCTCTGTTTCCATAGTGATTACTTGAGAGTTTAATCTTTACATGGAGCTGTTGCTATGTAGAAGAGCCTGGAAATTTCCTGAATTCACAGTGTGGTCTGGGCTCAGCAAATTTTCCTCATTTTCCTCCTTTCCCAGGAGCAAAAGGAGCAAGTAGGGGGTGTGGAGAACAGAGGTGCATGTTCATTCTTAAGGCGCAGTGTCTTTGATGGTGTGGAGCCATTGCTTGGAACTACCTCTTCCCTCTACATATCTCTACTCACCAAGGCAGTTTTGTTCTTTGTGTCCTGCATGCAGCAACAGAAATCTCTAGAAAAGCATTACCATGAAGCTTCACCTTGCCGCAAGCTTACAGTATTAGCACTTGATGAAATGACATAATTAGCAATACACTTCAAAATGGTGGTGCTCTGCTTTGATTGCCAGAGCCTGGCAACAGGCACAGCACAGTAGGGGGGTGACACTGCTGAGCTGTCAGTGCGATGGGAGCCTGGATTGCAGCCGGAATGCTGCAGCCCCCGGAGCCAGGGACGATTGATACAGTGCAGTTAGTGTCAGTGTGTAATTAATAGCAATACTAGGTTAAGTTTTCAGGATTGTTACTAGAATTTTATGTAAAAATATGGAAGGGCGATTTTCTCTGCAGTATTTAGTTCTTTCACAGTTGTCTTCTGCTGGCATTAGCTTTTCCTGTAGATTATATTTGTATTGGCAACAGTCGGGTATTGCAAGAGCAGAGAGCTACACTGCTGCAAAAGAAAGATAAATGTCTCATCAGTCATGGATAAAGAGGATGTTTTATACTGCAGTGACAAACTAGGAGAATGTCTGTAACATATGTAGCTGTTTCCTGATCTGTTTTCTATTTTTGTTTGTTTAGGTGCATAGAATTAGAGACATGAACATAAAAACTAAGCAGTAGTTTATATAAAACAGTGTGAGGTACAGTGCTTTAAATCCTGATTTCATGTAGACTAGATGACATCATTTTTCCTCATGGCTAAGGTGAGGATGAGAGGCAACACCCTCAAAAGCCTTTGGAACGAGAGGTGCGTCAGGAAGTGAGAGAGACGCTGGGACAAGCTGTGTGCTAGGGGGACACATGCAGCAGAGGCGACTGCCCTCAGCACTGCCCGCTCTTTCCTGTGACTGGAGCATCAGGATTAGGCTGATCTGCTTCAGCTGCGGATAGAAAGCAACGCTTCAGTGGATGCTGAATGCTCTTAGCATCCTCCTTTTGCATTATGCACTCAGCCTGTGGCATTTATGCTGCTGGATGAACAAGCAAATGGTTCCTCCTGCAGGCACGTTGGAGGTGGCCTAGCTGAGAGCCCTGTGTCCCCAGCGCTCCGCGGGGCACAGCCCTCGGCTGCCGGAGGGAGCTCGGCTCGTCCGCGATCCGGCCGGGCGCCGTGCGCTGCCCCGGCTTGCTCGAAGACTGGGTTGAGTGTCTCCACGTTGTGTTGTAGCGGGTTATTATACTCAAGGAGAAATACTTTCTCCATTTGGAAAGCATTATTTTCAGCATGTTGGAAAAACAGTATTCACAGAAATATCCGATTTAGCTTCTTTGAACTGATGCTTCCTATTTAGAAACGTAGCGGGTGCAAGAAAACCTTTCTACAACGTTTGGAGCTTGTAGTCTGAAACTCTGACTATTCACAGTACCACGGGAATGGTGACACCACTCCATCCCGTCCTCTTTCACCTGGATGTGGCCCCTTGGCTCGTGCTTAAGGTGCTTCTCCTTTTCTCTTTGTCTCTTTCAGGGCGGATGCTGGTGAAGTACATGCTACTATTCCTGAAACTGGATTAACAAACCGGATTATAGCTCTGTTTGAACACGCAGTTCAGAGTGAAAATGGCACCCACTGCCCACTGTTGTGGAGGATGTATTTGCACTTTCTGGTGAGAGGAGAGCATCAGCGTTACTGCATTTGTAGTACTTGGAATTTCTCATGACCACAAATATGATACCATGAAACAAATGAATACGGTGTACTGCATACCGTACATATGGTTGGGAAGGCCAAATGCATCTGCAAGTTGTAACACTCCTTCCTGTTTGGAATATTAGGGAAAATGTAATTCGTGTGGGTTAGGAGGAGTTGGTTTTTGGCAGTATAGTTTTAGCTTAGATACATGGAAGATATTGTGCTTTAATTCTGTGTAGGTAAAAACTACATAATAAGAGTTCCTCAAAACATCTGAGAATTTGAGGGCTTCTGTCCGGGGTTACTCACAATATAAACACAAGTTGGCAGGAGAGCAAAGTTTAACAACAGAGAAAGCAAATTGTAGAGAGGTAGGATTCTGGGTTTTTTTTGTTTGTTTTTTAAGAAAATGAACAAACACATCTTGCATTTATGTTAGTTTCAGGTGTACTAGGTCTGTAAGGAAAGTGTAAGGCTTTTAGTTTTCCTGTCAAGTGCAAATCTGGATTTATATCACTTTCAGATCTGATTTATGGAACCTGTAATCTATCAGAGTCTGAATCCCTCCTCTTCACTCCCTTTCCCCCCCACACCTGCCTTTTTCCCTCCTTTTTTTATTTAGTTATGGTAGAATAAGGAGTATTAATAGAAGGCACTATTTTATTTGGCCTTCTCAAATATTTTGTTTTTCTCTGTTATTTTATCTGTATTGTAAAAACTTTTCCAGCTCAATATTTTGATGGATTAACTTCAGTGCAAGAATGATGTAGCCCACCTCCTTGAGCCTTAGGGAAGATGAAAGGTCTGTCAGGAAATTGAAAAAAAAGAATGTGAACCTTTTGTGAATGGTCACTGAGGACCAGTGCACAAAATAATGCAGCACCACCTGCACTATTGGGTTTTGTCTTGTACATGCAAGCATTCTCGAGAAGGGAAATAATGGCCCCTAAATAGTTATGTTTTTGCCTAAATAAACATGTGTAATAGCTGCAACCTAAAACTGTATGTGCAAATGGAGAGTGCTTTATTGAAAAATAGGGTTGAAGGAAGGTGATAACAACTTGATGGCAGTCCAAGAATACTTAGCTGTTTTATGTGTTTCAGTTAAGAAAGAAAGTTTTCACTTTGTCAAAAGATCTTGTGTTATTCTTGTAGCGGATCTGGTGCAATTAAGACCTGTGTCATTGTTTGCACTCTTGTTCACTGCAATAATAGTCAAGTGTCAGCAAAGGGACTGATTTTAAGTGAAATAGAGCTTTGTGCCAGTCTTTATTCCAGTGCTTGTCTTCGGACACTACAACCCTGAGATCCCAGAGCCCCCTCTGTTACAGGGATGGCACCACCAGTGAGTGATTGAAGCGCGCAGCTCTCGCAGGATGTAGTGAGAAGGACCCCTCACAGAGCAACACTGAATGCTTTTCAGAGCTAATTTCTGTGCATTGGAGATAATGTATGTGTATGATTTCAGCTATCACTATTTATTGAAATATGAATACTTTTTTTTTCCCCATACAGGCTTCACTAGGAAAAACAGAGAAAAGTAAAGGATTATTTTACAGAGCCCTTCAAAACTGCCCTTGGGCAAAGGTAAGCACAAAAAAGATATAAACCTATAGTCAGCACTTTGATTTTTGTAATTCTATATATTTTTTTAAAAATAGTAGTTACCATAATGAGTTTCAAATGAAAGGAGCACTTTCTAAAGAAAAAATAGTATAAGCTTGTTTGCAAGCAAGAGCTGCATTCCAAAGGGAGACTAGGGCATTCCAAAGGGAGGCTTTTGGAACAGAAAGGTACTGTACTGCTTCTGTAAGTTAGTAAGTGCCTGTCCCTCTAGCATCTGGCAATGACTAAGTCCTGCAGAACATATTTTGTTATAAGCTTGTTGGAAGTGAAAATAAGTAGGCAAGTTAGGTATTTTTTTTTTAGGTAATAAAGAAATTACTCGGGAGCCCAAGTGAAGTTTGTGTAAGCTACAAACGCTGCAGTATTTGACCTACCTTTGGTCTTTGGAATGTAGAGATTTAGCAAGAAATCGGTAAAGACCAGTTGGACCATCTGTATCACTGTCCTTGTAAAAGTACTGAATTGACTGTGTTATACTTTAATCATGTGTGGCACTTTCTTGCATTCATGCTGCAGAGTTGTTTGTGTGTGTGTGTACTTTTCCTTGTTGCCAAGTATCTCATTATGCTATAAAGATGGTAGAGAAAACTATTTTAATTTTAACATTGTTTTCTAGGTACTCTATATGGATGCAATAGAGTATTTCCCTGATCAGCTGCAAGAGGCAGTTGATCTAATGACTGAGAAAGAATTAAGAGTGCGGGTGCCTATGGAAGAGCTGGATCTACTTTTGGAGGTTTAAAGGAAGTGAATAGAAGAAAAAGTACAGAAGCTAGTGCCAAATCTGGCAGTTAGAACTGTCTCTTTTCAACCACGAACGCTGTTGGCATTTAGGTACTATGTACTTAAAACTTTGCTTTTTATTAGCTACACATTAAACTGCAATCAAGTACTGCATTTTGCCCACGAAAAATGCATCCATTTTCTCTGAAGTAGTGCCAGCTTCCACTACAGGATACTCTTCTCATTTTTCCTGTTGAACATTGCCCACATTTCTTACTCTGTTGGTTGAAATTACATTCCCTGGATTCAGTGGAGATTCCATACACACCAGCTCTGACTTGGGGAGCAGCACAGGGACTAAACGTGCTGGGCAGGGGTGCAGGGCTGTCCTCCAGCTTGCTGGCCTCAGCGCCTCCCTTCAGCTCAGTGTGTGGGGGGGTAGCAGAGAGCTGCTCATAAACTCCTACCTATTTTGGACTTGTATGTTTTGACAAATGACCATTTTAAGATGAATATTTATAAAAAAATATACCGGAATACTTTTATATTTGGCTGAAATTTGAATTATGTTTGTTTCTCAATTTTAATGGGTCTGAGAATTAATTCTAACTGAAGTTTTATCTATAATGGCTCTAAGCAGCATATTTTAAACAAGTTGTAGTAATCTATTATTCTCTTTTTTTTTTCCCCAAATATAGATAATTATCATCAGGGAAGTAGAGGGTGGTTCTCTTTATTCTCACCAGAAAAGGCAGAATAGTCAATGCATGACCATTTGACAGGAGCTTTTACTCAAGAATTTTAAGTTCTTTAGAGAGGCACGGCCCAAGGAGAATAAGAAATGTAGCACCAACTTAACAGTATCTATTACATTATATTTTTATTTTGTAAGGCAGGAGATGCTGAAATAAGCAAAAGACTGGGTTTAACATCTCCCTCTTTGAGACTCAAGTGCTCAGGAACTAGGCCGCCTTCTCTGAAAAGCAGATCACCCAATGCCTCAGCAGTTACAGCAGAGTAGCTGCTTTGCTGAGAAGTGGGTTTGGATCAATAAGCGCAGCCCTGTCAGTCACATCACTAAATACTTACCCTGGAAGTCTGCAGCAACAGGGCAAAAAAAAAATCTGTGGAAGTAGCATCTTTGCCAACAATACAATTCAATTCAAACAAATATTTTATTGGGAAATGAAGCATTTACAGTGACCAAAAAACACAACCACCCCAGGATTTTAGTATTTCCAGAATGAGGATTAGCCAGACAGCTTGGTTTTGTACACGAGGCTGTCTGCAAACCAGCCTAACACTGCTGGCAGCCTGCAGGCAGGTAGAGTTGACTTAAAGATACAGCCCCTCAGGGGTTCCCTCCTGCTTCTTATAGAGAACATTCTCTTTAGATTTCTTGAAATCTTCATTTGTTACTTTCATTCGTCGTTCCCTCAAAGCCATCAATCCAGCTTCTGTACAAATCGCCTGCAAAAGGGAAAGCACAACCTGAATCACTGGTTCTCTGCAGCCTCTCGAACCCCCACCCCACAGACAGGGGCCTTGCACTGGAACTAAGTCTGCAGTAAGGAAAGGATGTTGGTGACATTAAAAATCTCATGTTTGATGTTGTTCAAAAGCACAGAAGTATATAAAATAGCCTTATAAAGGCTATAAAAGAATCTTATGTCCTTTTGAAGGGAATGCGACACTTCCATGACAAGAGAAGGCAGCCTTAAAATAACACTTTGCTAAGGAGCAGATTGCAGGAGGCTCTTACACTTTTGCAAGCAGGTGATAAATTTACACTTGGTAAATTAAGTCATGCCACAGTTGTAGCAAAGTCTGTCCACTTTCAAAAGTAGACATTATGTATCTGAAACTACTTCAGCTACAATTTCATCTTATTTCTGCTCACAACATTGTTTCTAAAATGCTTAATATCCTGCAGTTTCTTGAATAGTTATTTAACATGATCTTGCATAAATATTCTACTTCTCACATTCATATTCAGGTAGCATCACTTTTGTCAAAAGAAGCTATCTGAGAATTAGCATTTTGATAAAAGGATATGTGGCATTGTCCCAAGAGATGTTTTAAAACCCTCAGCAATGGAAGCACAGCTACAGTGTGAAGTTTCAAAAAAGTATTTGGCAGATAGAAAGAGGGGAATGAATTTGTGTTTTGAAGGGTAAGCAATGGTGATATACAGACCTTAATATCTGCCCCAGAAAGATCATCTTTTGCCATGATGAGCTCATCCAAAGTCACATCATCTGCTAAGGTCATTCTGCTTGTGTGGATCTGAAAGATGCGTTTCTTGGTCTTTTCATCAGGTAGAGGGAACTCTATTTTCCTATCAATACGTCCTGTGCAAGAGAAAAGTTTGCAGACTTTTTTTTTTTTTTGCTTGCAGCAATTGGAAACAGAGTAAGTACATTTCAAGTTTGGGTTGACAGTAGCCATTTCTACGCAGCACAATCAGCCTTGTTCTAGAGCAGGAAGTGGGATCTAAGTCAATTCTGCCTGTGATTAACATGAAGTTGTTATGGCTCCAACAGTTATGCTGCTGCTCTGTAAAACAGCACGTAAAGGAATTGCAGTTAAGAAGCACAAAAAGCTACAACTTTGAATCTCATTTAACTGGAAAAGCAATTTATCATACCCCAGGAAAGTAATCAGGTACTTACATTCTTGTAAAAAAATCATTTTGCTCTGGGATCAGGTTTAGCTCTAAAGCACAGAGTTTAGTACTTCTGAATGCATCTTCGTGGCAGCACGAAGAATCCTTCCTCACTGAAAATAGTCACTTTTTAATCGGATTATGTGTAGTGCTGTTTAACTCAACTGAAGAAGTGTTTTGTGTAAAAGTTCCTGTTGACAGTTCCTCCTACATTTCCTTTTGGTTAGTAGGAACATCCATCATTCCTGCCTTTATGGTTCCAGATTAATGACCAGCCTTTTTAGAGGTTGTTTCCATCTCCAAATCTTTCATGACTCTCTCTAGTTCTACAGTAACTCCTCCAAAAGAGCTCAATAGTTGTAGCCTAGCCTAGCCTAGCAAGCTGCTAAAATTGCCTTGGTTGCTCAAGCAATAATTTAACTGTGGGGTAGGTGGATAAAGTTTCCTTCAAAATTATATCCGATCATCCTAGCCTGTCTTAATTTTGGTACAGTATTTAATACTCTGTATTCCAACAGCAGCTGTTTTGATTTGGAGGGGCAAGAAACAACTTAATTACTTCATACTAGGGAGACATTTATGAATGTCTTGGGTCCATAATATACAGTGACTGTGCAGAGGAGGAGGATTTGCTCCAGCAGCACTTTACCAAATTTATCTCAGATGATCTTTGCTCTATCACCTTATAAGAAAAGACAGGTATCTTTATATATCATCTCCTCCATACTTGAGATAAAGTAAATTTAAAAACCACTAAAAAGTGATTTACTTGAGGACAGTAACGGAATTTCTTTGAGGTCTCTGCTACTTTCTAGATTCTGTTTTAGCAAACCCCACACCATCATGTAGGTTGTCTGTTGTGGTAGGTCTTTTAGCTGCCACTTGAAGATACTACTCACGTCCATTCAAATGGACCCATGTCCATACATACCCATTGGCTTATTTTTTGTTTTATTATATATATATTCATTATATATACAAATAATCTTATTATTTAAATTATATGTATATTATATAGAGATTTGTAAATAAATAAGACATTACTTGTTCTTCACTCCCTGCTCCTCCTTCACAAAAGTGGCAGTGTCAGGTAGTTAATGGAACCGGTCTGGTTGCGTTTTATCAAAACCTAAACTTCACAATGACCAGGAGCAACATTTCAAAGTCCTCAAGCACTTAAGCTCCTTCTGAAGACTTCACTTTGATGGTGTGGACCCCAGTGTTCATCTGCCAAACTGAAACGCACTGCCCTGCCTGCCCCAGCTGCTGCCGACAGGTTATTGAAATCTGCTTGTCTTCTATACATTTAACCTTCATGATTACTTAACAGATAGCTGTGTATTTAGCCATCTGAATACAAAGGAAGAATATTCAAGTTATTCTCATATAAAAGATTCATCGCACTTCTCCTGTAGTTTTTTTGCTTGTACTTCTGTATCATTTAAAGGCTTGTGAATCAGCTGCAATTTAACAGATGCCCTGATAAGAAATGCACTGACACTGAGGAGACAGTAAACAGATATAAATCAATAAATTGCATTCTTTTCAGCAGAACATCTTTTTGAGAGCTTGTGACATGCACTTTTACAATAAAAGGTATTTGATTAGTGTACCCAATGGAAAAATCTTACCTGGCCTGATTAAAGCTGGATCCAGTGTTTCTATTCTATTTGTGGCCATAATAACCTTAACGTCCCCCCGAGAGTCAAAGCCATCCAGCTGGTTCAACAGCTCCAGCATCGTACGCTGGATCTCCCTCTCACCACCTGAATTTGAGTCGTACCTTGGAGAAAAAACAATATAATCAGAAGATAAGGTATGCACATTTCAGAACACACTTATTAAGAACACAAATACTACACCAAGCACATAAGCATCTTCTTTTTAAAGCACCTACGTTATATATACTGCTTTTTTAACGTGCACCTATAGAAAACAAAAGCCTAGGTTTTTTTTCAAAGGTAGGCTTTCAGAACCTGATTACGATAAGAGCTAAGTAAAAGGACAACAAATTTGTTTTACAATGGAAAGTAATGGTAATTGCATGAAGAAAATTTGTCCCTTTTCCAGGTTTATGATGTATTCTATAATCATTCCCGGTCATCTTGCACAATTGTTTTCTTCCTAACAAAGATAATTAACAACAACAACCACCCTCTCTAATTCTTGAGACGAACTTGGAATGCATCCCCTTCAAAAAATAAGGCCACTGCATTTCAATAAATGCATCCTTTGTCCTTACCAATGTGGATCCCGGTTTTACTCTGCACCTTAACTACAGGTGTCAGTGGCTGCATTTGTGGTTTAGTCATTTCATTTGGTCAATATTAGACTACATAATCTGCACCCAAAGAGACTCACACGCTCTTTAAAAATTTAAATCAACATTTATAAAGAATTCTCCTGCATTATGCGCTTCACCCTCAGTCCAATCCCTACTACATACACTGACGTTTATG